TCTTTTGATGCACATAAGTTTCTAATTTTTAGTATGTCCCAATCATCAATTTTGTCTTCTTTTGTTTGTACAATTTTTGCAATGTTTGATAGTCTATGTGTTCTTTGTATTAGAGTCCTTAAATTTGTCCCTATTTTTTCATTGATTACTTTTATAGTTCTGGGATTTACATTTGGGTCTTTAAACCATGTTGAGTTATTTTTTGTATATGGTGTGAGAAAAAGGTTTTGCTTCATTCTTTTGAATATGGCTTTCCAGTTTTGCTAGCATATTTTTAAAAAACAACATATTTTAAAAAATTTATGCAAGCATTACTTTATTTGGTTATCATAATAACTTTAAGAAGTTAAGCAGTTATTTTAATTTTTTTTCAGATAAAGAAACTGATCCTTACAAAGAATGAAACCTGAAGTCATACAGCTACCTGGTGCTAAGACTAGGTTTTGAAGAAAGTGGCGTTCTCTACCTATTTAAAGTATCCACATCTTAGTCTTCCTTCCAGGATTAGCTCAAATTCCATTTCCTCCTTGAATTCCCCAATGTCTCTACCCAGAGAGCTCCTTGCCCACCTACCTCTCAAGGACTTCCTAGACCCCCTGTCATTCCCCACATTCTGCTTTATTTATAGTGCTACCTTTTCATTAGCTAAATTGTATGCTCTTGAGAGGAAGGGACCAGAGACTATTTCTTGGACATCTTTTGCCCATTCCCTAAAACCTAGCATAGGCTTTACCCAGAAGTAATCAAATATTGTTTTCATGATTGACAATTGTGATGTGAATGAGATACTGTATTGTACAGCCCAAAATGGGGATTTGAGTGGCTATTAACAGGCCTGCTCATCAGAGGTGCCATGGCCCTGAAATGATGTCTTCTCACACCACAAGGAATTGGAGCACCAGAGCTCACTTTCTTGAAGTCACCCACATTGTTTTTCATGAAGGAAGGGAGACACAAACACACATGCCACTTCCCTGAGTTTCCATGTTCCTGAACTTCTTTGCTCACCATGGAATGGGCAATCACTCAAGATCAAAAGGGTAACATTTACCTAAGGACAAAGTTGAGAAGGAATAAAATGGTGGGTGGAATGGAAATAAGAACCACAGGAAGAAAGCAGGATAACTGTTGCTGCAGGGAGGAGATTGCAATCATTGAGATGAAAGAAAGTGTATGATTGTTGAATGTAAACCTGATGATCTTGTCTGTAAACCCTCACTAAATTAATAATGAAAAGTTTTTAATTTTTTTAAATCTTGAGAGCAGCCATCTAAGGTGCAGCTATTGGCTTTTCCTCACGTGAAGAAAGAAGAGTGAAGAAAATTGAAGATACACACACACACACATATATATATTTGTTGTTGTTGAGAATATATATAAAGAATGCCACTTAGAAGCAAGAATAGCAAGACTTCATCTCAGATACTTAGGATATACTATTAGAAGAGTTCTGTCCCTGAAGAAGAACATCATGCTTGGAAAAATAGTTGGGTTGTTAAGTGCTATCGAGTTAGTTCCAACTCATAACGACCTTGTATAGGGTTTCCAAGGAGCAGCTGGTGGGTTTGAACCTCCGGTCTTGAAGTCTGCAGTCCAGTGCAGATCCTACAGTGCACACTAGGACTCCTAGAAAAGTAGAGGGTCAGTGAAAAAGAGGAAGACCCTCAACAAGATGTATGGACACAGTGGCTGTCACAATGAGGTCAAGCAGCAAGAGTTTTAATGCTCAAGGACTAGGCAGTACTTCACTCTGTTGTACAGAGGGTTGTTATGAGTCAGAACCTATCAATGGTATCCATCACCAAGAACAACAAGGGTTAGTGCTTATGGACCATTTCTAGATTGAACAGTAGAGATGAACTCTAGCTTGTCAATCAATACAAAAGTTTACAATTCTAGTAGTTCTTTGAAATCTTTGCACCAAAAGGCATTATTAAACCATTTCAAACAAGTTCTAAACATGTCTGCAAATTCTGAGTGAAGTCTGTTTTCTATGATAATGCTCCAGATCAAGAATTCTCACCATGTTTTTATCTTCTGTCTGTCTATTAATGTCTGTCTATTCTATTCCTTCAACCGCATTCCCACTAAATCAGTTCCTCCTCATCTTTTACCTAGACCTAGAAGTACTGGTGTGGTGCTGTAGCATAAGCACTGGACTGCTAACCTCAGGGTCTGGAGTTCAAACCCACCAGCCACTTCTTCAAAACCCTTTGCAAGACACCTATGGAAGCAGTAGCTCAAAAGAGGGAACTAGTCCTTACAGCAAGAATCATCCCCACCCCCTCCACACACAGAATAGACAGGGATGGGCAACTTGGACATTGGCTACCCAAAATGGGGGGTGGTGGGCTACAAAGGCAAGAAGTGACTGGCTTACAAGCTTTCAAGAGGGAACCTAGATCCAGAGGGCCTGGAGGAAGGTAGAATCTCCAGTGAGTAGTATTCAATCTGACTAGGCGGAGCTGATGCAATGAAATGCAGATGGGTCTCTTGTGATACCATAGTGAATAATTGTTATCAGGACTGTTTGTGAGGGTTGGAAATGTAAAGGTATATGTTTTATAGCAAGGAGGGGAGTGATTAACTTTTCAATCTAGGAGCGAAGGTCCCTAGGATCATCAAGGGAGAAGAGCAGAGAGCAGGACCCTACCCAGAGAAGCAGTGATGCCTGAAATGGAGCCAGAGATGATGACGTGGAGCGATGAAGCAGCTGGAGACTTTAGATCCAGAGAGGGAGAGCGACTGTGTGCTGAAGACCTGGGGGGTACGGGGGAAGGATTGCATGGAGGGGATTGTAACCATGGCAATGAGACGATATACGATAGAATGAATGTAAGACTGACGTTCTCCCATGTAAACTATCACATAATTCACAATAAAACCTAAAAAAAAATAAAAAATAAAAAACCCTTTGCAAGGTGGCGATGAGTCGGAAACTACTAGGGAGCACTCAACAACAACAGGAATTACAATAGTCTACCTGGATCTTTTGAGTCCTGGTGTGGTGCTGTGGGTTAATGCTCCAGATGGCAAAGCCGTTTGAACTGCAAGGTTGGCAGTTCAAGCTCACCAACTGCTCGGAAACCCTATACAGGGTCGCTATGGGTCGGAACCTACTTGATGGCACTTCACAACACAAAAACAACAACAACCTGGATCCTTGTTTTCAGTCTCTGTCACTTCCTAGCTATCCTTCAGAAATATTTTTCTAAAATATTTTTATGATGTAATTCCACTGTTTTTACATGTTTTATGCCACCTTTAACTTGTCCACTAACACAGTCAGAGCCAAGTTGAATTTCTTTAGCAAGGATCACAAAGCCCTCTACCCTTTGCTCCTGCTCTGTGAGACATCTACTCAGTTATTAAATACAGTATGCAATTCCAAGCTCTTGGCTTACTTGTACTGTTCCTTCAATATATGGAATATCTTTCCATATTTTTCTTCCATGTAGACTACTACTTACGCTTTATGATTCAGCTTAAATGTCCCTCTAGGAAGGCTTCCTTTTCCTAGAGTCAAAGGCAAAATTAATAGATCCTTCCTTTATGTTTCCATAGCTCTTTAGGAACAGCACCATTATAAGACCAGTTGCATTATATCATAAGTACTTTTAATACTTCAGTCATCCCTACAGGAGCTCTGGTGGTGTAGTGACTGAAGTATTCAACTGCTAACTGCAAGATCAGCAATTTGAACTCAACAGCTGCTCCACAGGTGATGTGGTAGTCTCCTTCCAAAAAGATTTGCAGCCTTGGGAGCCCAATAGGAGTAGTCCCACACTATCCTATAGGGTAGATATGATTCAGAATTGACTGGGTGGCAGTGGGTTTGGTTTAGTCATCCCTACAAGGAGCTCTGGTTACGAATCGGTCTGTGAACTGCAAGGTCAGCAGTTTGAAACTACCAGATCTTCCGCGGGAGAAAGATGAGACGTTCTGCTCCCATAAAGATATACAGCCTCGGAAACCCTGTACAGGGTCACTATGAGTCGGTTCCGACTCCACAGCACATAACCACCACCACCACAGTGTGGAGCAGATGTGACATTTTAGGGTTTTTCTATTATTAGCCTTAGCATTTTGTATCCATGCATAGTAGGTACTTGGTAGGTTGAATGGCAACATGGTGAAACTGTATGATAAATACTGGACAGTGAACCACAAGGTTGGCAGATCAAGCTCACCAGTTGCTTTTCTAGAGGACAATGAGGCTTTCTGCTTCCACAGATATTCACAGCCTCGGAAACCCTATGCAGGGTCACTATGAGTTGGAACTGACTCAGCAGCATTTGACAACAACAACATAGCATCCGGGAGTAAAACTGTCTTTATTTTTAATTTACATACTTTTAACCTAGAAGACTTGAGTGCACTAACAGACAAAGAAACCAAATTAGCATAAATCTGTATTTCTTTACCTATTTGTATTCTTCTTACTCTCTTACCCATCTTCCCAGTAAAGCAGAACCCATGCATGCTTATTCCCTCCCTGAAGCCCTTAGTGACCTTTTCATTGCCTCCTTCAAGGATATCAGTGTTGTCTTTTCATTGTTCATCTTCTTAAAGTAAAACAAAATGAAACAAAACAAAAACTCAATGTAGGTTTGAAACCAGGGGTTTCTGCTGTCTCCTACTCATCAACAGGCTGCAGTAGCATGATTTAATTTCTGCCTGAAAGGTCACTCAGTACACGAAGCTTTTAATAGACTGTACATCCAAATATAGTCTCAAAGAACTGGCCATGTGAACAAAGGTGTCCTGGAATGCTCTTTAATAATTTCCTTTGAAAATTGAGCTGTAGTACATCAACACAGTACAACTACATGTAATTGTGGTTCAATGTGTTCACATATACATATGTACACATTCAAGAGAGCTACAAAAAGTTCCCTCATACACTAGAACAAAATTTGATGGAAATACGACTCTCTAATTTTAACACCTTCATAAATGGATTATAATCTAAATTAGGTTTTTTAAAAAGCCCTAAACTTTTTTATGTTGCTGTTAAGTGCTGTTGAGCCAGTCCCAACTTATAGTGAACCTATATAGGGTTTCTTAGTACGTAAATCTTTGTGGGAGCAGAAAGCCTCATCTTTCTCTCTTGGAGCAGCTAGTGGGATCAGACCATCAACATTGTGGTTCACAGTCCATTGCTTATCATACAGTGCCACCTGCTCCCCATCATGTATTATATCAAGGTTTAATATCTAACCATCATTAGAAACTAACAAATGTTTATTGAGAGCTTTTAGTAATTATAGGAAACTTGGTGGCAAAACGGTTAAGCACTTGGCAGTTAGCTGAAAGGTTGGCGATTTGAACCCATCCAACAGAGCAGCAGGAAAAAGACTTGGCAATTTGCTCCTGTGAAGAACTACTCTATGAGAGTTCTGCACTGTTATATGGGTTGCAGTGAGTTGAAATCAACTCAACAGCGCCTAACAACAATCACAGTGTTGGTGGTTTTGTGCCGTGGAGTCAGTTCTGACTCATAGCAACTCTATATAGAGTTCCGAGACTTCACTGGAGTAGAAATTCTCTTTTTTCTCCCTCAGAGATCCTGGTAAATTTGAACTCCTGACTTTGCGGTTAGCAGCCCAAGTCACAACCCACTACTGTGCTACCAGGACTCCTTAACCAAAACAGTACTAGAACAAATACTGGAAGGAGAAAGGAGATATAAAACAGAATTTATATTATTAAGGTGCTTAAAATTTAATTGGACAGATGGAATATATATTTGAAAAAAAAAAACCGTACTACCCAGGTATATGCTAAAGCGATACGAAAACTCATTGCTGGGGGTCAGAGAAAGATGGTGGACTAGGCAAAAAAAGGCTGTGTGGACTCTATGAAACAAGCATACAGAAAACCTGACAAGACAGATACAGAGGATGGTCCTGGAACTCTGAGCTTCAGAGGAAGGGATAGAAAAGTGGATCGAGTGCTTACTGGGAAAGAGGGTTGAAAAGACCTAGAAAGAAAGGAGGTGACTTTGAGGTGTATTTTATACCTTCCTTTCCTACAGTTTTCTTCATTTTTGAATTGAATTGTATTTTTTTGGTGTTGGTCTCCTTCATATCACCTCAAGGGTTTAGACTTGTGAAGAAACGAGTATGATGGGGATAATAGTTTTGAAAGGAGACATCCTGTACATAACCAGAAGGAAAAAGAAAGGATTTCTCCATTTTGCTATTTTTCTGGAGGTGGCCAGTTTTGTTTCTCTTAGAGAAATCTGACCAACCTGTCATGCTGGTTCTGAAGGCACTGCTGTTGTAAGCAGTTCATCAAGAGTTGAATTTCCTGTAGTCTTCTTGGGAATATGGGAAAGGAAGAAAGCCACAGGACTGCTCAGTCAGTCTTGGGAAGATCTGGATGATTCTGTACATGCAAAAATGACTTGAAATTTATATTAGACACCTTTCTATCAATCCATCTTCAGAGACTGAACGTTGTATGATAGCCCTCCAAAGAAGGGGTGGAATATTCTGGTTTCACAACAGATTTTCCACTCATTTCATTTTTGGGATCAAATCCCTTTTGTATATAATCTTTATTCTCTTGTTGTTGTTTTTAAAAAATAACTTTGTTTCCTATTTAAATTCCTTGTATTAGTCAATGATTCATGTTCAGCATTATTTCAACCTTCTTCCATTGCAGAAAGAGAAACACTTATTTGTGTTTTAAATGAAACTGGTATAGGAAAGTCTAAAAAAAATGAAAGGAGGTAAGTGATGAGCAAGGGCAGCTGACAGGACCTGCTACAGCCATTCTAAGAGTTTGTGAATGGGTTTAGAGATGAGAAAATATATTTGCATTGCAGAAACCTACCTGTGGCTCATAGAGACGAGGCTGCAATTTTATTTCTTCTTTTTTTTTTTTCATTTTTGACTAACATACAACCACAGGGAATCTCCCACTTTCCAGGTGGTCAGAGTCACTTGGAGGTTGTGAACCTGAGGAGGAAATATATACAATAACCCCACCAGGGCTGGCTCTGCTCCAAATCTGCAAAGTCGACCCTGGCCAGTCCTGAACTGGCTCTCACTAGGCATGTGGAATAGAGAAAAAAAAGGGGGAAGGGAAAAGAAAGGAAAGAAGGTGGGTGAGCAGCTCAAGAAAACCAAAATGTTAGCTACTAAGGAAAACCACAGTAAGATTAAATTCTGACTTCTCAGTAGAAATTACGTAGGCAAGAAGGCAATGGGGAGACATATACAAAATTCTGAAAGAAAACTACTGCCAACCAAGAACCATATACCCAGAAAAACTGTCCCTCAAATATGACAGTGAAATTAGAACATTGCCAGATAAACAGAAACTAAAGGAATTGTAAAAATGAAGCCAACTTAACAAAAAAATACTAAAGGGAGTCCTTTGGACAGAGAACCAACTACAGCAGACAACAACTGAAGATTGACATACATGGCAGTACCACCCAGACTTCAATTCAGATATAGAAGTATCCAGAGGAAAACAAAGTGACAAATCTGAACATAGGAAATCAGAGATATCAATCCATAATGAAGACAACAACAGAGCAAAAAAGAGGGGAAAGTATATTTACAGAATACCAAATGATGAGGAAGTCAAGTAGATTTCAAAATAAAACAGAATTTTTAATTTAGGGAAGAAATTAACAAATTACAGGGTAACCTCAAAGAAATGCTGTACACCTTCAAATTAAATCAGGAAAAGGAAAATTCACGAAGCTCGATGATCATTAAAACCATGAAGAAACTAACAAGAAAAAGCACACGCACAAAAAATGAACTCAGCACAGGAAAAAATGCAGAACAAAGTAATCAGCAACATCACACAAAAAACACACTCTAAAATGACTTTAATCAATTCATGCCTATCAATAATTATGCTGAATGTCAATGGATTAAATGCACCAGTCAAGACACAGAGAGTAGTTTAATGGATAAAAAAACAAGATCCTTCAATATGCTATCTACAAGTGACACACCTTACACTAAAATACAAACAAAAATGAAATATAAAAGGATGGAAAAAAATTTATCAAGCTACTGGCAGTCAGAAACAAGCAGAAGTGGCAATATTAATCTCTGATAAAATCGGCTATAAAGAAAAAAAACCAGCCTAAGAGACAAAGAAGTACATTATTTCATGACTAAAAAGTCAATTGAACAAGAGGACATAACCATAATAAATATCTATGCTCCCTATGAAAGAGCCTCAAATTACATAAATCAAACTCTCATAAACTTTAAGAGAGAAATAGATAGCGCTATAATAATAGTTGTTGTTGTTGTTGTTAGATACCATCCAATGGGCACTGACTCATAGGATCCTAGGCACAACACAACAAAATACTGCCCAATCCTGCACAAACTTCACAATCATTATGCTTGAGCCCATTGCTGCTGCCACTGTGCCAATATATCTACTGGGGGTTTTCCTCTTTTTCTCTGACCCTCC